TCCTATTGTGTGTCTCATGCTAAATTTTGCATGTTACTTTTAGATATTTCATCATTATCATCAGTAGTGGATCTAAAAATGGAATAATATAATGATGATAATTTTAAAGATTTCAGTTTGCATTACTTTAAGTCTTGGTAACAACTGTGAAGAGATCTATATGATTTATAAACGTCGATATTTGACTATAGTTATTAAACTATCATTTCATTTGTTATTATGGGACTATTTTTATAGTAATATTTGACGTCAAGGCGCGGGAAGCCCGTTATGCAAATTTTCATATGTTTCCCACTAGATCGTTTATGCCTAGGCATTATCTCCAAACTAGACAGGAATTCTAAAAATAGTTTGTAATATATTGCAACCAAACAGTCTTTTTATTGTGAAATTGAAATTTTTGTATATATTTCCTTTTGGGATCATTTAATTTACATCGGTTTAGGCGTTAATATAGGCTTAATTATATAGTTTGATTAGAGCAATTTCTTTCAATCGAATCTTTTCGGGTATTTCTGTCACAGGTCGGGGAAAAATCAAATCTTCTCGGGCTTTCCGTCAGAGGTCGGAAAAACAATCCCGAGTGCATTAACATCACCGGATGTTAAAAATTTAGACATTTTCCTGTATAATCTGTGGTATATCTTAGTATCTTTACATTCAATAAAGATAAATTCCATGCTTCACAGAAAAAGTATTCCAACATTTAATTCAAAGTTTGTGAAAAGAGGGGTTGTCATGGCGTCTGCGTAATACATTGTTTTTTTTCCGCCAGTCGGAAAGGTCCGAGAAGATGCTATCGCGATTCTTTTTTAATCCCCTCTCTGAAATGTTAAATTTATCATTAAACCTACAGTTTGGAAGTACATGTGCATGTACATATAAATTTAGAACACAACAGCTGTCGCCATATTGTAATGTTGTATTTACTACCTGTGAAGTAGTTGATTTTTGTGTTGTATATATTATTATAATTTTATTCTTATGGGGTTCCATACGTTTGAGTCTATTTTGCCGTGAGTATATAAAGGGACCGGTTTTGTCGCACTGGTCAGATCTAGTTTGGTGTCCGGTAGCGTGACCAGCCGGAAGTGTGCTACGTTTCCTGTTTCCCCTGCATGGTTTATACAAGTGGCGAATATTTTCGGTGAGATATAGAACCGAATGTTTAAAATGTAGCCATATAACTTGCCAGGAGGATTATTGCAGCGAGTTTGTGCAATTATAGCCGGTAAGGGTGTTCGGATAATGTATATAGTTTCCGGTTTTAGTTGTATTTTAGGTTAGATTTTGTAAATATAAATTACTTTCAGTGCGTAAGGGTCTTGGAGAAGAGTTATTGATCTATGGGCGTACTGAGGGCTGGTTGACAAGGTTTGAGGCTTATAAACGAGTATTGTATGGAGGGCCACGTGCGTCATATCCAATTTCCACACTGTTAAGGGCTTAGTAGGAAAACCAGAGCGAAAGGCTAAGACCCAGTGCTCTGTGATATAGGAACTACCATTTTGTTGACCACGGAACTTGTGACGTAGACGTACTTGTATGGCGAAAGCACGGTGGTGCATTTTCTAGGACACGTGTCGCTGACCTCAATTTGTGAAATGGAATTTAGAGTAACTTTCAGTAGTAAATAGCAGAAGACGTTTACATTTGAAAAGATATTATTCTTATTGGAAGTCAATTGATCTTTTTCGAAATATTAATCAAAAAGACTAAAGTCGGTGAATTATACATTTGATTTAAAATCTGATAATTATTGAATCAGCATTGTAGCATGTAATATTAAACTTTATTATTATATTAAGTATCACAAGTGGTTAAAGCTGAGTTAAGAGTTAATATCTATTTCATTTCACATACATTCATTATGTGAGAGTGAGTGAGTGTTATTGAATATAATTGTTTTTTTTCATATGTGTTTTAAAAAATTTATTTGTTGTTTCTGATTCATATTGTTTTCCTTCTCAACTCTGCAAACTCTAAAAAGAACAAATGGCACCCCCACATAGTTATTTCTATGTTTCGAATATGATATCTTTCAAAAATATGATTGTAAACTCTTTCATGCATGTTTCTTGAACACATTTACACAGTTTAAAAAAGTCTGATTGCACAGTGTAAAAACTGGAAAATAGTAAAATTGGAAAGAAATTAAACGTCGGAATACACAGAGTGTTGGATTATTGAAGAGTCCTATTAGACAGTATTCAATGTACATGTATTATTAAATCATTATTTTCAAACAACTCGTTTGGGATAAAGTAAAAAAATTCTCTGATGCTACTTATTCTATGCATTTCAATTCATTCATTTATCTTTAGAAAATTATCAGTGAAGCATATGTCCATGTGCAGGTTCTTTTAAATAAGTAAAAAAGTATTTTGCACATATTTTTTGCTCGCCTGACCACTGCATCGTGAACTGTCACCACTGTAGGACCGATTCCGATGTTCGTCATTCTTCTGTAACACATTAAGCAAACATATTCTTGATGCATAGTATTTGTCGATTCACTGGTATATTTTCCATTTTATGGCTGAAAAGAGTCACTGAAATATGACTGAGAGGTCACAGAAATATTTGTAAAGGGTAACTGAAATTTAGCTTCAAGGTCACTGAAATATGGCTAAAAGGTACCCTGAAATATGGCGGAAGGGTAACTGAAATATGGCTGAAGGGTCACTGAAATATGGCTGAAAAGTCACTGAAATACGGCTGAATGGAATCTTAAATGTGACTGAAGGGTCACTGAAATATGGCTGAAGGCTCACTAAAATACGGCTGAAGGTTCACTTACATATCGCTGAAAAGTCGCTGAAATATGGCTGAATGGTAACTGATATATGACTGAAGGGTCGCTGAAATATGGTTGAATAGTAACTGAAAAATGGCTGAAGGCTCACTGAAATACGGCTGAAGGGTCACTTAAATATCGCTGAAAAGTCGCTGAAATATGGCTGAATGGTAACTGATATATGACTGAAGGGTCGCTGAAATATGGTTGAATAGTAACTGAAAAATGGCTGAAGGGTCACTGAAGTATGGCTGAAGGGTCACTGAAACGCATGTGCCATTCAGTTGAATGAATGGTCACTGAATTATAACGGAATGGAAAAGATCTTCATCAGTGACCATTCCATCACCATTCCGCTTCGATTCCGTCATCTTTAAGTCGACAGAATGGTTAGATTTTAACCCGTGGATCTTGTCCTGAGAGTACATTTCTTAATCTAATATCATACTCGAAGTATTTAAACTGTAACTTTTATTTTGAAAATACATTAGATATGCCAAAGAACGAAGAAAATTACAAAAAAATTCACAAGAATTAAAAAGTTTAAGACCCAAAGTATCCATTCAGTTTTATCAGAAGTAGGGGGGCGGTGCTGATGAAATTTCTCACCAGTAAAGATCTGTTAGAAATGAAAAAAAAAGGAAAAATTATAATTTTAAAAAATAACATATTTACACAAAAAACAATGCATGACAAGAACCCGGATTTGTGGATGGGGTTGAATTTCTTTTATCATTAAAGGTCGCAACTGCAACGCCAAATGATACACTAGTGTGTATCATTTGTCGTCGGCTATGTCGATATTTTTGCTCGTTTCATTAGGCGTCAGTGTTGTTCTGCATTTGTGACGCTTAATGATATAATTCTATCATAAAGCGGCGATTTAGCATTAGCAATTACGACTTCAGCAGAGTAATGCAATAATTTATGGCATTAATGGTTGCAACTGCAACGCTTAATGCTATTTGAATCATTAAGCGGCGTTCTACCATTAGAGGTTGCTACAACCCTATAACCACTACGCCACGCGGGCGACTACGAGTATAAGATACTAGATACTACTAGATAAGATACCCTACCTCAACGTGAGACACAACACACGTATACATTTTAAATAACTATAAATAAACACTATATATAGTCCTTAATCTCATCACAGTCGATTTAGAATAAACTGTTTCATTTTTGTCCCCCGCTTTCGCGAAAGCGAGGGGACATTAAATCTCATTCGTCTGTCCGTCACAAAAACTTTAACCTTGCTCATAACTTTTGATTTAGTAGAGCTATGAATTTCATATTTCACATGTGTATTCCTTGTGACAAGACCTTTCTTTGGGTACCACCAAATTTGACCTTTTGACCTTTACCTTGGCGTTTGACCCACTTTTACACAGAAATTTCAAACTTTTACTTTGGCCATAACTTTTGAATGGAAGGTACTAGGACTTTCATATTTAACATATGTATTTTATGTGGCAAGATCTTTTATTTGATACAAACAACTTTGACCCTTTGACCTTGACCTTGGAGATTTACTACTTATAAAAAAAAACTTTAACCTAGACCATAACTTTTGAACGGTGTAGGCTAGGGCTTTCGAACTTCACTTATGTAATCCTTTTGAGAAGACCTTTCATTGGATACCAACATCTTTTACCCTTTGACCTTGACATTGGAGTTTTAACTACTTTAAAAAATAAAATTTAACTTTTGTCACAACTTTTGAACGGATACTAGGACTTTTATATTTCAAATATGTATTCTTTGTTGCAAGTCCTTTCATTGGATATCAACAACTTTGATCTTTTGACCTTGACCTTAAAGATTTACATACTTATGAAAAAACTTTAACCTTGACCACAACTTTTGAACGGTAAGGGCTAGGGCTTTTATACTTCACATATGTAATCCTTGTGAGAAAACCTTTCATCAACAGCTTTGACCCTTTGATCTTGACCTTGGAGTTGACCTACTTTTAAAAAACGCTAACTTTGGCCATAACTTTTTACGGTCAAGGGTAGGGTTTTCATCCTTCAAAAAAATCAACTTCCATGATAATTTCTAGGAATTGACATATGATACACTGTAGGATGTTCATATTAGACACAATATGTCATAAAAAATAACATCTCACCAACAAAGACACCGAAAGCGGGGGACCACAATTCTTTGAATTTGCTTGTTTTTTTTTTATTTTTTACAGATTGATTGTTATCTTTTCCTGTCTTGGAACTGTGATGGGACTTATGCCTTGTATTCTCATTGTATGTTGTAAGTGGACAGAAATTAAAAGATGTATAAAAGAAAGAAAATATTTTGCAGTAAATGCATGACATGTTCCTTGACAATGACAATGATTTATTCTCTTAAATGTAAAAACATACATTGTAGAGAGGAGGTAGGAATAGATACAAACAAATAGAAAAAGAATATAATACATGTACGAGGGTTTTTCGTTAAAATCGTGGACAAGTTGTCTAGTTTGAAAAATAATCATCACTGAATTCTTAAAATTTCACCACTCTTTAGTACATATATTATGAATATACAGAGCAAAATTTGAATAGATATATGCATAAATACACAAATTGTGAGAGTTTATGTTATGCATTGTATCGCCCTACGGAGCTAGGATGATAACGTCAAAGTGTCTAAAACAGCGTTACGTTTCATCTTTGCTGAAAATAAAGTTAGATAAATCACACTTAAATTTAGAAATTCCATTGATTCACATACTTGAGTCTTCATAAACAGTTGAGGAACCAATATGGAGCACACATGCGATCTACCCCACCCCATCTCCATTTGTGCCACCAACAGCCTCTGAAGGGGTCCCTGTTATTCCTGTCCAGACATTCATACCTCCATACTTTTACATTACTCTAGCCCCGGGTCTCACATATATCCCTGATCAGCGTCCTACTTCAGGGCCAGGGCTGACATAAGCTCCAGAATTATTCCCCACAACATTTAAAGTACCAACTTTAGCTCCTTCATAAACTTTTGCAACTGGGCAAACGGTTTCAAAAAGCCTGGTCTTTAATAAATTACAGAGAATGGCTAAATAAGCGCCATTATTCAACTAACTAATAGAGAATATTATATCGACGGTGTACATTGAAAGCGTCTTTCGCTAAATAACAATATAAGCTTGTCCGTATGTTTTGTACTACCCGAGGATTCGATCAAAAACACTTCGCTCAGAAAATTTCCATTTCATTTACAAACTTAAGATCTGGTGATATTTTTCATATTTGTTTTCTTCTGTATTCATTTAAAGTTTCTTAAGTTGTCATTACAACATCCTAATCAAATGAACTGTTCTCCGATGCGCCGTAACGTCATCAAACGTCGCCATTTCTCGTGTGTTGTGTTTTCCATTTTCCCGTTTTGAATGCTTGAAAAACTGTCAAATTTAACAAAATGCCCTATCTTTCTAAAAAGATGACAAAATTGGTTAAGGAATCTAATTAAGATTATTCTCATCCCAATCTTATGTATTGAAAATTCTTATTTCGAATTAATACTTGTGTATTCTTGATTTAACCTTGGTTTTTTGACGATGCGCCGTAAGACCGTACCCTATGCATATTCAAACATTATAACATCTTTATTTTTGTTTATATATTATAAAAAAAAATTATGATGCACGTATTTATGATGAAAAAACTTTTACTGAAAATATCAGCTAAGTGCGCTCATTGCTTTTTGAGAATAACGCTTTGTCCACGATTTTACCGGACAACCCTCGTTTAATAAACAGTACAAAATATCATGTTAAAGTTCAAGTAAGTTATTTTCATCTATAATTTGTTTGACAATCAATAAACATTTACATAATTTTTTCGATGATGGACAGTTCGTTGTTGTAAAAAGTTGTTTAAATTTCTCTATATTTGGTCTTCGTATGAGAGAGTTTTAAATATATTTTGACTTAGCATCGTTAATTTCTTTAATGTGCATTCAAAAACGTAATAGTATTCATCACCATTCTTATAAAGATCATATAAAGTACAAATCCTTTGTTCTCTTGGAAGACCATTCCATCTCCTAGTTTCAATTGGGAGTTAAAAGTTATTACATCTACATTCACATAACAATATTGAAAATTTACTAGGTAGATTTAACAAGATATCTTTCTGGTTCTAATATTTCTTGATAAATACGATAATTTACACCCTTTGATAAGTTGAAAACATTACTCTGCAAGTTTTGGATATTTTGGTCAACAAGTATTCTTTTTATTTCATTTTTCACCCATGCTACACTGTACATAATTATGTTGTGTTGTCCATAAATAAGATAATCCATAATCATCTAAAATGTTTTCAACATAGTTAGCCCAAGGCAAATTATGCCTTGATGCTAGTACATATAGCTTTGCCCAAAAAGAAATCATTATCACCTTAATACATGTATTAATATAATAAGTGGGAATCGTTCCCCATATACCATGTAATTTGGCGTTTTAGTGTTCAAACCTAGTATATATTTACAATATTTTAAGTGAAGTTTTTTGATTTAAAGGCCGAGATTTTTAACCGTACGGTTTTTTTCATGTAAGGGGAGGGACTAAATTTTACATCTGTGGCACCCCAAGGCATTGACGGTCGTGCAGACCGTTTGAAGCGCTAATCCCTATACACAAACAGTATGCACAGGAAGTCCATTGGGTATTACCTGTACACCTTAATGGCCCATTGTAGTAGAATTCGACACCGTAAATAAATAATATCAATTGTAATTAATGATTATCTAAAATTTCGTAATTTCAAACTTATATCTAAATATACCCTGATATCATGATTCAGTACTTGCAGTGCTTTGATTAATTTACCGCGATTCGAAGATTGAACTCATGGCCGGAACCTATATTACAGTAAAATCCGGAACCAATATTATGATTTTAAGGTTCCGGCCGGAACGCGAAACACCCGGAACGAATATTATGCGACAACGGCCGTAACAATACAACCCACGAAACAAGAAATGTTCGGTTATAAAAACGAAAAGAAATTAGAAAATCTTAATACTTTAATACTTGTTCAACCAAAGTTGTTACTTATCAGATATTTTTTTTTATCCTTAGTTATCCATTACATACAAAAAGTGTTTATAAATACCAGCTTATTTTCTCCTTTATTTTCACCTTAATTTTTCGCCGGGTCTCAAAACAAGAATCATTCTTAATATTTACGAATGAAAACAAGATTTCATTCACATATTCAATTTTCATTAGTAATGAAAATATACGCAATCTTGATTTATTTTATTGGAAAACAATGAAATAAAAATTTATTTTAAATGACATGTTTGCATTACAGATAATTAATTAATTATAATCAAGCTGAAATTGTTTGTATCGAAATGGCTTCCTTATTGCGATGGTAATTTAGCGGTAACATCAGAAGACCAAAAGTTAATTTGATGGTGGCCACGCGTGTCAAACAATGTGAAAGAGATATACACAGGGACTAGTGGCTAACTGTCAATCAATATCAAGTACCCAATAATGGACCGTAATTTATTTGATTGACAGGGGGATACAGACCAGGTAAATCTGAAGGCGGTGCTTAATATCTCGGGCTTTAAGTATTTTTTGTAAATCCCCATATTTCACATCCATATAACAAATTGGTTGTACAATTCTGTCAAACAAATCTATCTGACAATCCATAGAAAGATTATGTTGTTTATATTTTGATCACTCCATACATAGCTTTTACACAGCTTTTACAGATTTATTGTATTGTTCTTTTGATAAAAAGAACCTGATTTTGAAAAGTACATTAATTTCCTAAGTACTTATAACTATCAACAATCTTTAGACTTAATTTATCATAGGTAAAATATAAATCATGTGTTATTAGACATCTTCCGAAAATCATTATTTTTGTTTTGTCGACATTTACTTTTAACCGCCATTTTTTTAACAATATTCATGAACAAAATTTTACATACTTTGTAATGACTCACAGTTTTCAGCAAATATAACAGTGTCATCGGCATGCAGCATTGCAAAAAGCTTAATATGTACATGAAGTTCATTCTCAATAATTTCAGAAATTTTCTCTAGACCAGTTATATCAGTCAGGGTAAGGAATGATTCTAAATCATTTAAATACAGAGAGAACAGAAAAGGGGATACATTTTCACCCTGTCTTACAGCAAGTTGACAAGGGAAAGTATCTGAATTTACTTTAAGTTTTGCCTTGATTCCCTCATACATTTTATTATTCTTTATTCTTATAAATAGGAATCATTTCACCACACAACCACTCGAAGGGGAAACAACCACTGTTAAAAATTTTGTTGAATATTTTATAATAGAGGGGCACCATTATGTTGCATGAGCTTTTAATATATTCTTTGTATATGTCATCACTTTCAACTGATTTGTTTCTTTTAAGACTTTTTATACTTTGCATTATTTCATCACAAGTTATCGGTTCATTTATAGACTTATTACACTGTAAATTAGAGAGAATATCTATATCCTCATTTGATAAAACATAGTGAGGTATTTCATTATCTTTTTCCGTATTTAATTTTTTAAGATATTAAAATATCTTTGAAATTGAATACAAACTTGTACAGTGGACCACCATATATCCGGATGCTTCAGTATGTGATATTATGAAATCCATTTCTATATGTATTTATTCGTTTTTATTTAATTTTTTCATATCGTTTTGAGATATATAATCTTAAAATTTGATTAACTAAAAGTTTTATTAAGTTGCCTGAGTCAACTTTATTCTATGAATTCATTGGCTTTTTCATTTGATTGGTTATTTCCTATTTTGTCATCCAATAATAAATTTTTATTATAAGTATACATTTACTGCGTTTTACTTATGTATGTCAGAACAGTTATACGGTTTTTTTAAAGAAAGAAGTGCAGAGAATATTTAAAATCCAGTGTCAGTCATACGCATCTTTTGGTATGTGACTTATATATTTGATTATGTGTTTCATTGCCATATCAAAATTTGATTTACCTTATTATTTTGATTGCTAACTTTTTATTCTATTGTATATTTGCATTCAAAGTTATAACATAAATAATGAGTCTGTAAGATTTCAATATGATTTGTTGACAGTACAATTTTTTCATAGAGTTAATTTTTTCTTAAACGTATACTGTTGATAAAATACTTCATATGCTAATTATTTTCAATTTCTGTAATTTTGACATATTATGAACTTTGTTTATCATGTTTATTTTACATCAATGCCTTTATCTCCTCAATAAATTATGAAAATAACAGCTGCCTTACTGCTCGTTTACAAGTATCTGGACGATTTTTCGATGGAACTGAATTTTTTTCATGTTATTTTGTCTTGTTTAACTGGTTATTCAGGTATCCGGACGCTTCACATGTCCGGACAAATTGATTAGGAGCCAAAACGTCCGGATAAATGAGCTTCCACTGTTCAGTAAATTCTCGGTAAGCCGCCACCTTTTGTAATTTAAAAATCAAAAAGGTATAACGAATAAACGATATAACGATAAATTAAATTTCCCATCTTTTGGGAAACAATAACTAGAGTTTCCTTTCTTGGAATTACATTAAGCGGTTCTATTCATGTGTATATATAAAACGTATCATATGAGTTTCTAAATTTAAGAACCTTTAAGTATTTTTATGTACAATTTCGTTAAAAAAATCGTGCAGTTATGTAACAAAGACAAGTATGTAAAGCATGTA